CTTCCATGACCTTGACTTGAATTGTCCACAAGAGAAAAAGTGAACAGCTGTAAATGTGGAGAGTGGAAACTGATTTGCCTACCTGTTCCAGGTCAATCACTCAATTGGGATCAAGGAAACAGCCAGGCAATTAACATTTTCAAAAGCAGAGCTCAACAATGGCAGCAGCCTGCTAGCAGGAGGAGGATCTGGAGAAGTCCTGGAGGTGAGCATGGGAGGAGGTGATGAGGGAACCAGAGAGCAAGAAGCAGGGTTTGGCTGATATCCGGGTGATGTAGCTTGGGGTTGGTGCTTTGAATATTATACATTGGGCCATCAGGAGCCAGCGGGAGGGGTTGGCAGAGACGGGTGGTGGGCACTGAATGGTTGGCAAGCTGGATGGGCCTGGCAATAGCATTCATGATAGACTGAAGGGGTGTAGCCTGTGTAGAGGTAGGCAGCCAGGACAGAGACAACAAGGGGGTGACCTAGTAGCTTTGTGGGGTCCATGGTCAGTGACATGGAGGTCAGCAGGAGGAACCAGTGAGAGGTTGGTGGGGACCCAGGAGATGGGCAATCCTGAAATATGCAACATGTACGTGAATAAATAGACGTACTTGATCTGCTTTGGAGTGCCGGTGTCCATTGTTTAACTTTGTATATTTTGACGGGAGCCACCCGTCGACATCCGCTGCACCCACTTCCTATTCCATGGAACAGCGGTTCTGAGTGCGATGGGTATATGGACTGTATCGGGGTCACATTAAGCTCCCCTCCAAATGACATTGTTACACAGCACGGTGGAATAGGCAGGAGCTCCGCCATGTTGCATTGTGTGTCCCCTTAAACAGGTTTTGCAGGCCCCGGTGTCACCACCCACTAATGGGACGTCCTTTGGCAGGGAAAGGGTTTGCTGTTTCCCTGTGCTGATTGTGTCTTCCTTTCTGTCTCTTTATCAGCCGAGGTCCCCTTATCCATCCCCCCTCCGCCATCACTCCAGCCTGATCTCCACACCGAGCAACTTTGAGCACGTCTATCACATGACTGTAAACTCTGCTGAAAACTTCCTGTCCTCCGAACCCGCACACCCCGCCTCTTCCTCCTACTCCTCCCCGTCTCTCAGTACCACCCCCACCAATCACAGGGTACGCACAGGCGAGCCCCTTCGCTGTACTAACCTGTGTGGTTTGCCTGGCTTCTCATCGTCACTTGCTCCATGCTTCATGCCATTGTGCCTGCTCCGTCACCAAGCACCCCTTCATCATCAGTCTGGTCATTTAGAGGGAACCTCCACTATGTCTCCCTTCACATCACCGGCAGGGCTTGCTGTGTTTTATTGTTCAGACTTGTCATTGGTTCTTCTGTGGTCACATGTTTAGTGAATCTGTGCTTTGCCCAGGCAGGGGAACCAACAGGTTCACTTTAAGACCTTGCTCGCACCGACCTCAGCTTGAGCAGCGTGTACAGCCGGTCTTCATGAAGCATTTGCAGAGCTTCAAGCAGCTTTGCTGAAGACTTATAGCAACCTAAGTGTATGTGAAGCCATTTTTTTGAGATTTGGATAGAGTAAGGAGGGGTTTGGGCCTCTCTTTATTGCTGATGTGCAAGAAGAAAATAACCAGACACTTATCTGTAAGATCTAGGAAATTATTTCATTATAAGGTACATTCAGTAACGTATAGCTTGTTTCAGAGGTTCAAAGGGTCCCCCTTAAAGCTCAACTCTGAATACAATAAACTTACCAGGGTCAATTCAATTCTAAATTCCTTAACTTAAAGGAGAACTATGAGGTGAGTGCTTCTCACTCACCTCATAGTTCTAGCCGACCTGTGACAATGAGACTGTCACAGGTCGGCTCAGTAGATCGGGAGGTGAGCGAACATATACCGGCGTTCGCACACCTCTCGATCCTGTCACGGCTCTCTGCCATGACAGGGGAGGGGCTGGATTCCCCCCTCCCCGCTCCGATCTGCCAGCGCTGACTGGTGGAACGGACGGGGTAGGGGGCGGGTACAGCTGTCACTCACGCAGCTGGGCGGATCTCGACATCGATGTCGGGATCCGCTGTGGCGTCTCGGTATAGAGCGAGCTGTAGCTCGCGGTATACTGAGCCTAGGGTGACGGGAGGACGTTAGTTTGTGTCCTCCCGTTACCCTAAGTAGAACTATGGGGAAAAGCCCTGACCCCATAGTTCTCCTTTAACCCCACGTCATGCTGGTTTTGTTCTACATTAGACAAATCTGCTCTTTTATACCCTGAGATTATTAGGGTTCCCGCTGTACTTTCAGGCCCTCGGATGCAAGTTCTAGAAGTCTCATAGACCCCAGCGGTACAGCCATGTCTACGCCTCAGGAAGTGAAGGGGCATCTCCCCAGCAGTAAAGTATGTCACCAGCACGCCGTGGTTCAATCTTCAAGCAGCGATCATTTAATTGCAACGTTTCGGGGCCACTCATGCCTGATGAAGGGACCCTGAGTGGCCCCGAAACATTGCAATGTGACAAGATGTGTGCGCATCAATAAAATGATCGCTGCTTGAAGATTGAACCACGGCGTGCTGGTGATATATTTTACTATTTGGATCATCCGCAGTCACTACACCACCCACCGCAAGGGACATACCAGTAAGGAGTGCGGGAGGACTCTGCTGCATCTCCCCAACAGAACGTGGACATAGGTTTTAAGCCCCATTTACAGGCTGTGGGCGGTGGCTGTCATTATGTTGTACAGGGCCTCCCGTCTGCAGGAAGTTGCATGAATCTTAATGGAGGCGTTCATGAGACTCATGTGATCGGCCCCATGTGCTAGTGTAAATGTGAACGTTTTTCCATTTAGATTGGAGAGAGTTAAAAGCTCTGTCAGTTTTTTATCTTATTAGGGAGATTTCTCTTCACTTCCTGTCATGCAGACTCAACAGGAAGAAGATATCTTTCCAGTGTGAGGGAAATCCCCCTCTTAGACAGTTGTCACAGGAACAAGTGTCCCCGTTGGATGATTCCCCACACTGTTCTGGTGGCAACTCAAAATTTTGGCTTTACCCTCGCCTTCTTTCCTGGCGACAGGAAGCAGACAGCAATAAAAACCGGACCGAGTTTCTAACCCCTCATCAATCCAAGCCTTAAAAAGTTTTGGCTTTACATACACTTTAAAAAGTATATTCCTCCTGAAATATGATGGACAGATCCTAATAATGATCTGCTAGGGCACTAGGGCACTTCATGTGTTGAGGCAGCCATATTGAGGTGCAGTCATTTGACTTAAAGCTGAACTCCAGGAAAACAGCTAAGTACATTGATGAATGGCATATACAGGAGCTGTTTTACCTGGACAACGATTTGTATTGTTGTATATCCAGTCCTGAGATTTACACAGCTCTATCACACAGCACAGTCCTGTCTGGAGGGGCAGGAGACCTCGTTTTTCTCTCATCACTTACAGGTCTTGTCCGTTATGTCACCAGCACGCCGTGGTTCAATCTTCAAGCAGCGATCATTTAATTGATGCACGCACATCCTGTCACATTGCAACGTTTCGGGGCCACTCATGCCTGATGAAGGGACCCTGAGTGGCCCCGAAACATTGCAATGTGACAAGATGTGTGCGCATCAATAAAATGATCGCTGCTTGAAGATTGAACCACGGCGTGCTGGTGATATATTTTACTATTTGGATCATCCGCAGTCACTACACCACCCACCGCAAGGGACATACCAGTAAGGAGTGCGGGAGGACTCTGCTGCATCTCCCCAACAGAACGTGGACATAGGTTTTAAGCCCCATTTACAGGCTGTGGGCGGTGGCTGTCATTATGTTGTACAAGGCCTCCCGTCTGCAGGAAGTTGCATGAATCTTAATGGAGGCGTTCATGAGACTCATGTGATCGGCCCCATGTGCTAGTGTAAATGTGAACGTTTTTCCATTTAGATTGGGGAGAGTTAAAAGCTCTGTCAGTTTTTTATCTTATTAGGGAGATTTCTCTTCACTTCCTGTCATGCAGACTCAACAGGAAGAAGATATCTTTCCAGTGTGAGGGAAATCCCCCTCTTAGACAGTTGTCACAGGAACAAGTGTCCCCGTTGGATGATTCCCCACACTGTTCTGGTGGCAACTCAAAATTTTGGCTTTACCCTCGCCTTCTTTCCTGGCGACAGGAAGCAGACAGCAATAAAAACCGGACCGAGTTTCTAACCCCTCATCAATCCAAGCCTTAAAAAGTTTTGGCTTTACATACACTTTAAAAAGTATATTCCTCCTGAAATATGATGGACAGATCCTAATAATGATCTGCTAGGGCACTAGGGCACTTCATGTGTTGAGGCAGCCATATTGAGGTGCAGTCATTTGACTTAAAGCTGAACTCCAGGAAAACAGCTAAGTACATTGATGAATGGCATATACAGGAGCTGTTTTACCTGGACAACGATTTGTATTGTTGTATATCCAGTCCTGAGATTTACACAGCTCTATCACACAGCACAGTCCTGTCTGGAGGGGCAGGAGACCTCGTTTTTCTCTCATCACTTACAGGTCTTGTCCGTCCCCCAGCCTGTGACTGGACAGTGAAAGGAGAAGCAGCAGACTGATGAGCTCATCTCTCTGTCACTCTGCTCTCTCTTCCTATCAGCATGTTTGCTGTTAGCACAGCTGATTGGCTTCTTGTGCATTTTATACCTGCTTGGAGTCCAGCTTTAAATGCCTATGAATATTAGTTCAGCCCCCAAACCTGTATGTGGTAGGTTTTCGGCAGGTCCGCCCCTTTTCTTCATCATTCCGTCATGTTGCACTCAGAAATCCCATCACCTGCATTGTGCCCATTGTGCTGCGCTGTGTTTGAGTGGAGCGTCATTGTGGGGTTTTGCTGTCGTCATTTTGTTGAAGGGGAAGTTGCAGGCTCGGCTTTTGTCTGTCTGCAGCGCCTCCGTGCCGCTTTTGGTTTGATTTATTAGCTGATGTCGGTCATTTGTCTTCTCATTCCTGCTCTGTGCAAAGCAAACTTACATGTCTTCCCTCTGCCGCATACAGAATCCCCGGGCCCAGGACAGTCGGTCGATGTTCAGTGGTTCTGTCAGTATTCCGTCAATCACCAAGTCGCGCGGAGAGCCCGGCCGGTCAATGAGTGCCAGCAGTGGCCTCGCCGCAAGTAAGTATTGATTGCCCGCTGCAGCCAATAGGGAGTCTGATCATTATCCTCATATTCATTTGTGTCTCACACGCTCCCTCCTCCCAGACACTGCAGCTCACAGTGGGAGGGTTTCAGCAACAGAGGCAGTACTGTCAATCCAGAAAGTAGAGGGCGGGACTAGGTGTGGTCAGGTGCTGATTGACAAGCTATAGTCTTGCCACAATGCTGATAGCCACGCCCCCTGCAACATTTTTCCTTCCCACTGTAATGCAAGCAAGCACAGCCTACATGAGAGGGGCAACTCTGCTCTGAATTCAGGAGCAGTGCAGCATCGTTGTCACCCCATCACAGAGGCTACGTCAAGTAAAGTTTACTGGCGGGAGCAACAGGTATTTGTGGGACTTTGCAAGGGGGAGGCTAAGAGAAAACTGCAAGGCATAAATGCATTGGAACATGCATTAAACAAGCAGTCTTCATGGCAATACTCACCATCTTCCCAGTGCTGTTACCCACACACTCACTGCTCTGTGGGCCTGCACTAGTCCTGACATCCAGCATCATTCAACCCTCCTGCGAGCCTTTATGGGTGCATCACTACACTGGCATAGAGTACTGATCACCGCAGGAAGTAGAGAAGGACCCCAGGATGTCACATGACACCAGGAAAGAAGGTGTCCATGCAGAAATGTAACCTGGAGTCAAGCTTTTAAGTTTACCAAAACTAAGTAAGTTTAGTGTCTTCCCGAAAAATCTATGACATTGCATCAGTTAACGAAGGCCCTCACACTGCGTGGTTATTGTAAGTGAAGGAGCGGCGGGTTACCACTGGCTGGGTGAGTGTCAATGGTACAGAGGGGCCCTTTGCATAGACCAGAGGTAGCCATCCTTGGCTCGCTGTGGAGAAACTACAAATGCCATTATGCCCCTACCTCTGGGAGTCATGCCTGTGGCTGTTGGAGCCTTGCAATGCCTCATGGGACTTGTAGTTTCACTACATCTGGAATGCCGAGGTTGTTCACCCCTGGTATACACAATGTCAGCTGGCCTGAATGGCAAGGTGAGTCTTTCTTTAAGCACGTTGGTATCAGAACAGTTCTTGCCTATAACCTGAAAATAAATCATCTATATTAATCATAAGTATTATAAATATAATAATAAAGTACTATAGGATGGGGGGATAGGAGAAGGGTTAGAACCTTTTCTTTTTGGAAGATGGGACATACCCCCAACCCCCCCTCACTTCCCCCTTATGTTCTCTCCTGGTACAGAAATAAAAACAAAAACAGTAAAAGAACTCAAAGTGACTTGGACTGTTTGCAGAACAGACTTGCTACGGAATTCAATTTGCTTTCAGTTCATGTTTTTTCTTTCATTTTCTTCTTGTGTTTCTGTCATCATTGCAGTGTTTAAGGTGACTGGACATTTCATTGCTTGCTGTTCCATAATCTACATAATAATAAATGAAGAGGCTTGCAGATAAATCCGGAGAGGCAGAGATGATTAGCTACCCCAGGGACCCTGCCTTGTGACCCGAGATATCAGCCACCCAGGGGGGGCCATTGCTTTCAGGGGGTCGCCTGTCTTATAGGCTTGCAGTGTGAGAAGGAGAGGTAATGCAGCAGAGCAGGGAGCAGATTCTGTGTATGTAATGAGGAAATATGGAAATGATAAAACTATAGCCTTTAATATGAACCCACCTTTCCCTTTGGAGCTATAAGAACCTTTACTCATCTAGGAAGGCTCTCAGAGGGGGTCTGTGGCAATTTGTTCCCATTCAGACTACAGAGCATTTGTGAGGTCAGGTACTGATGTTGGATGAGTAGGTCTGGCTCACAATCACTCTTCCAATTCATCCCAATGGTGTTCTGTAGGGTTGAGGTCAGGGTCCTTTGAAGGACACCCTGGTTCCTCCACACTGAACTCATCAGAACATGTCTTTATGGAGCTGGCTTTGTACACAGGGGCGCAGTCATGCTGGAATAGAAAAGGACCTTCACCAAACGGTTACCACAAGTATGGAAGAGCACAAATGTCTAAAATGTCTTTTTATAGTGTAGTAGCAGCAGCGCCCTTCCCTGGAGACATCCAAACTCCATCATTTGGAGGAGAGTCAACATACTTTTGGTCATATGTTGTATGTGGATATACTTTTATAGTTTGTGGTGGCACTGAGAATGAATTGGCATGCACAGAGTGGTGCCTTGCACACAATGAGGTACTTAAAGTGACACTAGACTCAGGAGTTAAATCTTACAAATACTTTAATGTATCTTAACAATTAACAGAAATGTATTATTTGTTATTATCACTCGGCTGTAGATCCTCCAATCATCTCTGAATTGGTGCTGACACTGTCCTTCCTTCTGGAGGGTGACTACTATTGTTCCCCATGGTCCCTGTGTGTGTTGTAAAGTAGTCACTGCTCCAAGCTCACTCCCGTGATGGACTACAATCTCATGTTTAGTTTTCTAATTTGTATTGAGATTGTAGTCCATCACAGGAGTGAGCTTGGAGCGGTGACTACTTTACAACACACACAGGGACCAGGGGGAACAAAAGTAGTCACCCTCCAGAAGGAAGGACAGTGTCAGCACCAATTCAGAGATGATTGGAGGATCTACAGCCGAGTGATACACAAATAAGATACATTTTTAGTAATATTTAAGGTATTTGAATGTATCTTTAATATTTAACTCTGAGCTTAGTGTCACTTTATTATAAATGAAAGGTTTGAGACTCTGGTCTATATTAATAGGGATCTGATGAGGGATCGTTGAAGCTCCACTGTTAAACTGAAAGTTCAGCTTTGTGAGTTTCCATGAATTGCACCCCTCTGAGTGCTGTGTATACTGATGTACATCAAATAAATGTACTTTATCTTCCAACAGAGCCAAAGCTCTCTCTCTCTCTCTCTATTCAAATAATCGTCCTCCTTCGCTTCCAGGGTCGTCGCAAAACGGTAGTGCGCTACGGCGAGAATTCTCGGGAGGGAGCTACGGAGCGAAGCGGCAGCCTATGACATCGCCGTCTGATGGGTCTTTATCTTCTGGAGGACTTGACCAAGGAAGTGACGCTCCAGCTCGGGAATATGAGAGAGAGGTGAGATTATTTTTTACTTATCACCTTTATTTTATATTTTTTACTTTTTTTATCACATTTTTTTATTTTTATTTATTTTATTTTTTTCTTTTTCATTTTTTTTACTTAACTTTTGCTACCACAAAGGAGCTAACAAGCCCCTATGTGACAGCATTTAAAGGTAACAGGTTCTCTTTATGGAGAAATCAGCGGTCATTTAGACCTCGGATGTCTTTCCTGCCCTCCAATACAGACCATCAAGCACAGACAGTCTGTATAGCCGGCTTCTGACAGCTGATGATCACAGAACAGATCGGGAAACAGATGTTACCCGGTCTGCTCCCGCTCTGTATCCTGACACTGCTCTGTGGTCCCAGGCCTCCTAGAGGAGCGGGGGACCCGAAAACCACGGCGAGGTGGTGCAGGGGGGGGGATCGACACAATAGCAGACTAGTACAAGTGATCTGGGTGGCTGTACAGCCGCCCAGATCACTTGTAGTTGAGGAGCTGGCCATGCTTGCCTGACGCCATTGGTTGCTAGGAAGCCAGCGGTCCTAGCAACCAATGACTGAAGCAGAGGGAGGTCCTGCACTGGGTTGCGGCTAGCAGTAGGAACTGTGGCCTCCGAGGCCGGTGTATTAACTGTCAGTTAACCATAACCCAGTGCAGGTCTGTGACCACGGTCTGGACAGAACCGCCACTCGGTCCGTGTCTGGACTGCGGTCCGCCATTTAGTGACCGCTGCTATATTCCCTGTGTTTCGGATCTCTCTTTTATGGAGAGCGCTAACAGTATCTCCTACACTTACAGTACATGTGATGTATGTTTAGCGCACAGGTTGAAGGGTTACTACATGTAACACCAGGTTTAATAACATGCCAGGCTCTATGTGTAAAGGGTCAAAAAGTTATTAGAACAAGGAACGCTTTAATCAAAATTTTAAATGAAAGCTTTGGCTCACTTTGTTATTTTATTTGCAATCACCAACGCGCATCGGGAGTTGCAAATGCCCCCCTTCTTCAGGACTATAGACATATAATATAACCGGTGTCTTGTCTAACCCTGCAATCTAAAAAAAAAATCTCCCGCCATTATTTCATCATATTCTAGCTTTTTTTGGAAGCTTGAACATGATTGGTTATAAAGAAAGCAGAGACAGAGGGCAAGTTGCACATTGTATGCTTCAGGAAACACCTTCCCACTGAACATGCGAGGACCTGTGTGAAATCTGCCTACAAGAGAGAATTCAGATTAACTTAACACTGAGTAGACCCCCATGCCACTACAGGTGGCAGTAGTGATGAAGGGGTCGATGGGAAGGACCACAGCACCCAGCAGGGAACGCTCTATTCCTTACACCCAGAATTGTGGGATATACGCAGCGCCCAGAGCTCATAAAGAGAGAGGATTCAGCACGCCGCCTGTCGGAGAGTTGGATCTTTCCTCTCTTCTTTTACAGGAGGCTTCTGCTGCAAATGTACTTACATGGTGACAGGGTCACTTTAAAGATGGGAAAAGGTACACGGTGGGCACAAGGAAATGAGGCGTCTAGGCAGGCAGATTTCTGGGATATTTTTCATATATAGCTGCAATGTTTTTTTTCCATACATTTAAACATGTTTTCTCACTATTTTTGTGATTTTTTTTTTCTTGTTCGCTTCAAACAGGCAACAAACTTTGACTTGGGCAGAAGTACATTTTAAACTGGTGCAGAGCTACTTTTGACCACTGGAGGGGGTAAATCACAATAGAAGCTGATAGTACATTTAATCTGCACTAACTGCACATTTCACACTGTGTGCCGCCTCTCACTGAACACGTCTGTGTAAGTTCACCGTACTTTAAAGAGTATCTAACGCCCAAACTTATGTTGTTAGTTTTGGATAGAGTGGGGAAGTGTTACAACCTCTATCGGGTTTGTATTACTGTGTCCTGCTGGGAAGATTTGCCCTCTAAATTCGTCCTGGTGACTATTGTCACTAGTATATAAAATGGCAGAATTACAGAACTTTAGAGTTGTCACCAGAATGGGAATAGAGGGGAAATCTCCCAATGGGGACACAGGTATTCTGGTGACAGCGGTGATTTCCTCTCATTTCTTGTTGTTACTCAAGGACGGGAAGCAAAGGGAAATCTAGCCAATGGGGCACAGAGAACAGAAGAACCTGGTAGGGGTACTACAGTTTTGGCTTTAGATACACTTTATGGATTGACCACACCACCTTTTTCACATGTTAGAAGTATGCTCAATAATTTGGCATGGGAATCTGTGCTGTGCACACAGCCTGGCTGCCCCAGAGCTTCTGTTTGTCATTCTTGTGTTGCTTGAGTATACCAAGTCCTCCTGGAGATGTAAAACCCTCTGGTAGCGAAAACCTGAGTACACTTGGACCTCCTAGTGTTTGTAGAACCCTCTGGTTGCAGAAACCTGAGTACACTCAATCCTCCTAGCGGTGTAGAACCCCCTGGTAATGGAAACTTGAGTACACTTGGTCCTCCTGGTGGTGTAGAACTCTCTGTTAGTGGAAACCCAAGTACCCCCAGTCTCCTGGTGGTGTAGAACCCTCTGGGGGCAGAATCTTGAGTAAACCAGGGCCTACTGGAAATATAGAATCCTCTGGGAGCAGAAACCTGAGTACACATGGACCTCCTAGTGGTGTAGAACCTTCTGGGAGTGGAGACCTGGGTACCCATGGACCTCCTAGCAGTGTAGAACCCTTTGGGAGTGGAAACCTGAGTACACCTGAACCTTCTGGGAGTAGAGACCTGGGTACCCATGGACCTCCTGGCGGTGTAGGACCCTCTGGGAGTGGAAACCTGAGTACACCTGAACCTCCTAGCAGTGTAGAACCTTCTGGGAGTGGAGACCTGGGTACCCATTGACCTCCTAGCGTTGTAGAACCCTCTAGGAGTGGAAACCTGAGTACACCTGAACCTTCTGGGAGTGGAGACCTGGGTACCCATGGACCTCCTAGCGTTGTAGAACCCTCTAGGAGTGGAAACCTGGTGTTCTGGGAACATCTAATCCTGAGCCTGCATACTGCAGTCCAATTATTGCCTGATCACATTCAAATTCATTTTGTTCCTGCATCACCCGGACTGCAAGCTGCATGATCACTTCAAGGCCTTTTGAAAGTCCTGCTCAATCTGGCAATTCAAAAATCGTAAGAAACTCGCCAGTAGATTGAGCTGACTTTCTGATTGGATAGCACTATTACAGTAGAACTTTCTTGGAACACAAAGTATTGACATGTTTCATTCTACCGTATATCACAAAAATAAGAGGATTATTCCCCATTTTGAGACAGTGGGCGGAGACGAGCACATCCTTATTTTTCACCCCCTTGGCCAACTCCGCGTCTAGAACCGCTGGTATGTAGCGCAGATATAACCTAATATTGTAGAGCCATTTATTCCAAACACTCTAATAATTGGCGGTATCTGTACTATACATCAGCGGTTCTAGATGTGCATTTGGCCGGTGAGGCATAACGGAATCATTTGCATGGTTCTGCCCAGTGTCCTAAAATGAGAACTAGACAGTATATTCATATATATTTTTTGTTATATTTCATAGAATGAGACATGTGAATAGCTTCTGTTTTAGGAAGACTTTACTATGCTATGCACTGATTCAGTCGGAGGGCTATATGATACCCTCAGTCCTTTCTACCCATAACCTGTAGGGTAATACTTGCTCATTGAATAGCATTAGAAATTCACACAATGGTTCTTTACTTGTGGTCTAGATTTGCTTATTAACCTCTTAATTTCTTGTCGGTCACCAGGACTCAGACTCGCCAAGACATTCGACGGCCTCCAACAGCTCTAATCTTAGCAGCCCACCAAGCCCGGTGTCCCCTCACAAGACCAAGAGCAGTTCCTTAGAGAGTTCGGACCATGTCAGCTGGGACGCATGAACTTCACGCCCCTCACCGCTGCCTAAAAAGAGCTGCCTAAACTCCAGCTTGTGCGGAACCAGCGCGGAGGGGCCCCCCTGATATCTTACACAGCCCAACCACGCAGCACCGCGATGCCTGGGACTCGTAAGAAGGCAGCTTGTTGCGGAACGGACCTTCTAGCTAGTAGAATCGCTGCTTTTCACACGGTTTACAACGTGGCTTCCTCGCCATAAAATCCATTAGCCACAACGAAAGGCAGCAACAAGCTCTAAAAATGGTGCACACAGGAAACAACCATTTTGGGGGAGAACGGTGGGGAATTTTTGGGATTGGGGGGGGGAAGGGAGATCCACTGCTGCCTCGGTAGCAGCCCTCAGACTTGAGGAATCAGCACTGTGTTACCTCTTCCCCCTCGCGGGACCTCACGTCAGGTGCGTGACCAGACATTGAATGTTACACCCGCTGTGCGCTCACCTTCCCACCCACCTTGCGTCATCAGTAACGTATTTTACTATGAAAGAGTTTAATCTAAATAGTACATCGCATATGTATATATAAGGATGATGTATTCCTCTGAGAGTAGAGCATATTTAAAAAGAAAAACAAAAAAAGAGATTCTGTAATTTTAATGACGGATTGATTGCGTTCATGATTGCTATTGGATAAACCAGTTTAACGGAACACTTACCGTACAATCACACGTTTTATTTTTAAGGTTTGACTCACACAGTCGATCATAGGTCAACTATACTCATCCACGCCATGTAATCTTCAGGTGGTCCACGTTCGTGTGCGCGTTAAAGGGGGTTTACACTTTCAGCTAATAGGGTGCAAGCCCCTGCTGTTGGTGGCCAAGGTTGCCCACTGGGGGTCTGAGAAGTCCCTTTTTTTTCCCCAGCATGGAGCCCCTACCTTTGCAAAAACATGTGCTTGGCCAAGCAGGAATGGGGTCTAACACAAATATGAGTGAAGGTGGCCGAGCTCCTCTACAGTGAATCTGACAGCCATTTTAAACTAAACTACCTGAGAGCAGACACCAGTTTTGGCCCAAAAAAGAGCATCTTTGTAACTAACGGCTTGACTTTTCTGACATCAATCGTGTCCTCATAGCTAATCCCCGCCCACCTGTCATCTCCCCGTCCAATGACAGCACCCATTTTGGCAGCAAAGGTCCTTTCTTTGAACAGTGGAGTTGATGGACAAGCGGAGCTGAGTTGTGGGGGGAATGGGGAGATGCTTTTCTGTCAGGTTTAAAGTGCACCAACCTAAACATCGTGGGTGGGCTCGGGAACCATATGCTGCCAGCACATACCATTAGATGTTCTTCTTTTATTGATCCATCACTATGGATGATAGCCTTGCTGGCCAGCGGGAACATGTGGAAAAGAGAAGGGGGCTGGGTTAAGCCTTTTGCAATTGCTTGGAATTCAGGGTTCCTGGTCTGTGTGGGCACCATTTGGTTTGCAGTCTGGGTACTAACTGGTGAACTTTGCAGAACCTTGCTCTTTATGCAAGTCATTAATGTTTAAACAAAATTGTCTGACAGCTAAGACGAGTAGCTTTCCCGTCTGGCATTATAACATAGGACTGAGCATGGTAAAGTTGGCCTCAGTTCCACATGGGACTTTACATTTCTCAGGAAATTATCATTTTCAGTGCTGTACCCACACAGGACCTTTTAGATCGCCCTCGGTTTCCAATTGTCTGCTGCTTTTATCTGTGCAGGTTTGATGGCTGTGAGATGAGCAAACTGTATGAGGGAGGGACTGTATCCTCAGATCGTTCCTTCTAATTATTTGCTGTCAGATGAAAGATTGTACGACTCCCCTGTAGGTAATCAATGAGGTAAACATGTAGTTGTTTGGCAGTGAGTCATATTATCCTGATAGGGTGCAGTACCTATATCTGAACTCCAGGTGGCGGTCCAGGTTGCATTTGCAATTGGTTAGCTGCTGGAAGTCCTTGTACAGCGGTGGAGACAGCGACCTCTACTGGAGAGAATAGGAAAGTGTTTACAAATGAAGGCAAAGCCCACCAGATATTCCAATTTTCGGGGATTGCAGAGAGGATGAATCCCCCACTTGCTTCTCATATCTCTGATACAGAGTCGGACCATCCACAAGGCAACCTAGGAAGCCCGAGGATGTCCGGGGGTCCCTACTACATGTTCCTGCAGTAAACCCAGTGATAGTGCAATTGGGCCAAAGCTGTGCACCGACCTGTGGCTGCACAGGGTAGGATGTAGTTGTAGGCAGTTAATGCCCAATGGGCCCCCCTAGTACAGACAATACCCAATGTGGGGGTTCTCTGTGCCTTCTGCAATCTTTATCAATGTCAATGTCCTAGGAATAGGGGGAAATATAGCTGCTACCTTGCCTATGGCCCCATTCTGCCTTAATTCCTCTCTTCTCAGAGATCTTTACCCCTAAGTCCCCATCTTGGCTCACATACGGCTGGATCTTCTATAAGTTTTCACAGAAAATGCAGCCGAAGGGATGAGACTACCTCAGATATGGCAGTGGAAAATTCATTCTGTCCGGTGTCTGCTGAAAATAGATCTTGGTTTTGGTTGGACTTTCCCTTCAGAGCCCCGCGTTGGGTGGTACCATTGTACGTTTTTTGTTTTGATGCTTGAAAAGCAGAATTACGCAATCTCCTGCGTAAGATATGGCGTGCGTCACGGTGCGTCGTGTTCCCCCTTTTCACGGTTTCCAGTAACACTACAGACACTCGAGCAATGCGACAATATTATAACGTTTGCTTAAAGAATAAGCGCACTTTTATCATGACGCAAACATTTCGCTCATTTCATGAGTTCAGGCCAAGCAAGTTTTCTAACAAAACCGTTTCACTAGCGATGCACCGATACCGATACTAGTATTGGTGCCGATACCGAGTATTTGGGTAAGTACTTAGCCCGATACTTCCGGTATCAGGAAGCCGGGCAGCGCGTCATTACATGGCACCAGGCTTCCATGACACATAGTGACGAGAAGCATGGGAGGGCTTCCCGGCTAATCAGGAAGGCAGGTGGCAAGTCATTACACGCCGCCTGGCTTCCTGAATGGGACTTTCGGTACTCGGTATCGGCGAGTACCGGGAAAAAAAATATATAGGTACTCGTACTCAGTGCCAAAATACCGGTATCGGTGCATCCCTACTTTTCACATTGTTCCTTCCTCCTGCTATGACAACCTGTCCTGGGAACCCAGCCGTCTGCTGGTTCAGATTGGAGAAAGCATCCTCGGCATCCCTTTAGATGGGCCCCTCCTGACCTCAGACCTCTCAGCCTATAGGACTAGTCACAGTCCGTCCTACACTACTAGTAACGGTTTCAGAAACATGTTTAACTTCCAGGCAATTTCCGATAATTTTTGGTCGGTTTTTAATGTCTTAGTCCTTACAAACAGAGGAAAAGCCTCCCCTTCCGCTGGGATAGTTTATTGAAACTTGTACTACAGTCACTGGGGTCCCACCCAAGGTCCGCCCCCACTGATGCGGTTCACTCAATCACGGGCTTAACCATTATCTCTATGAAATGCATCAGTGGGGGTGGAGCTTGGGCGGGACCCCAGTGATGTGCTACAAGTTTCAATGACCTATCCCAGTTGAATCCGGTGTGCGGCCGGCTTTTCTTCTGTTTGTATGGGCTCCTATTGGAAGCCAGGACGTGCTCCCAGCGGCTCATTCCTTTGCTGAGCCCGTGGAGGGCCGCTGCTTCTTTTGTATGTGCTCCTTTACATTTTTTAGTGTTTGCAAGTTTTAAAAACCTTTTTTTTTTTCCCTTTTTAAAAAAAATGTTTATTTTGGAAATAAACATTTCATCCAATGGGCTTCCAGAACTGTGTTCACAGACCATTCTGGGCTTTCTGATGAGAAAGGCCAGCAGTAGCTGCTCACTTTGTGGACGGTCTGTCTCTAATTGATTCTCTATGCAGAGCCATTTGAACTAGAGACAGGCTGGGAAGTGGAGCGGGGTCCTTCCTCTGAATCATTCAGCCGTGGGTGTGTTGTGAATAGAGCGGAACAGTAAGAAAACTTGACTCTTGGAGCGCTGGCTGCGGGCCGAGCATTGTCATCATGTCATATTTATAAGTTATATTTTAGATTTCTCTGATATAGAAGAATGAACGGATCGTTTTTATTGGTTACATTTTCACTCCCGCACATTATTCCCAATAATTCCATTCCCTGCAGAGATCTCGGTGTATGTAAACGCAGATTGTGATGGCATCATGTCTCCCTGTGTGCAGCGTCTTGTGATTCCTGTCAGGTCTGTGCCGTCCCGTAGGGGCAGCCAACTGAAGGGGCACACGTGGCCGGCTGGCAACGCTCCTCCGTAATTGCAAGGCAGAGGCTTGGCGTTGTCAGCCTGGAACAGGAAGTGCTGTTACTGGCAGGATCTCCAGGTTACACAGGGAGGCATGATGGCAGACATACTGGAAGGTGGAATGTGCGTTTACATACACTGTATATACTTGGTATAAATTCAATCAAAAAGCATCGAGTGTAACATAAACAGAGGGACATTTCCAGGACCAAATCTCAGCCGTACACCTTCCAGTCAGTACACCCTCATTGAGACCCGCTAACACGTATGTAGTGCGAGGGCCGGTTCGATTGGTTATACAGCGAATGAATGGTGTAGGTCCGCCCTCGCTCTCTATAGTATTTGGTAGGTCTAAGCCAGATTGTACACTCAGATTGTGGGCTGGGCACATAGCATACATCTAATGGTATACCGGGGATGCCTCATACATCTGCAGGTATACCAGGGGTACCTAATACATCTGGAGGTATACTGGGAGTGCCCAATACATCTGGAGGTATACTGGGAGTGCCCAATACATCTGGAGGTATACTGGGAGTGCCCAATACATCTGGAGGTATACTGGGAGTGCCCAATACATCTGGAGGTATACTGGGAGTGCCCAATACATCTGGAGGTATACTGGGAGTGCCCAATACATCTGGAGGTATACTGGGAGTGCCCAATACATCTGGAGGTATACTGGCAGTGCCCAATACATTAAGTGGCATACCGAGGATGTCTCTTACATCTGTCAGTATACTGCAGAGCTCCTGAACTTAAAAAAAAAAAAAAAGAAAAATTTCAGGACTGCGTTCTCTTGCCGATGGCCCAGAAAGACCGGATTAGCAACACAAGTTTATTGTTTGTTTTTAATATTCTCTTACGTGCACTTATTCTTTAATCCTTCGACGTCATTAAACTCATGTTCCATCTGCTTGGCGGCTCTATGCGCCCGGCGATCCCTGTGCCTACAACATACCAAACTCCTCCTGAACTTGTGTCCGCCGCGCTGTTTTATTGTCGGTTTTAGGAATTATTAAAAATAACCCACACGGCCACCCCTCACCCGTCACCCTCCACCCTTTGCATGTCGGTCAATTTGTATTTTAAAGAGATCCGCTTTTCTTTGTATTTATTTATTTATTTACAGTTTTCTGTCACCGTTTTTCCCCCTCACCAAAGTATCCCGACTCCACCCCTTCCTCCGGCTCCTCCCCTTCCTCCGGCTCCTCCCCTTCCTCCGGCTCTTCCCCTTCCTCCGACTCTTCCCCTTCCTCCGACTCTTCCCCTTCCTCCGACTCTTCCCCTTCCTCCGACTCTTCCCCTTCCTCCGACTCTTCCCCTTCCTCCGACTCTTCCCCTTCCTCCGACTCTTCCCCTTCCTCCGACTCTTCCCCTTCCTCCGACTCTTCCCCTTCCTCCGACTCTTCCCCTTCCTCCGACTCTTCCCCTTCCTCCGACTCTTCCCCTTCCTCCGACTCTTCCCCTTCCTCCGACTCTTCCCCTTCCTCCGACTCTTCCCCTTCCTCCGACTCTTCCCCTTCCTCCGACTCTTCCCCTTCCTCCGACTCTTCCCCTTCCTCCGACTCTTCCCCTTCCTCCGACTCTTCCCCTTCCTCCGACTCTTCCCCTTCCTCCGTCCTCCCATTCCTTGACCTCCTCCCCTTGCGTTGTATAAATCCACGTATTGTGCTTTGCGCAGTCTTTGCAAAATAATATTATTTTTTTTCCTTCCTCTTTGTGTTTGTTACAATCGAGATGTCATTTTATCTGTTAATATAATATTTATAATCACTATGCTGGTATTTTATTTTTTGTTTTGGTTTTTAC